CCAGTGAGCCCCGTGCCATGATTGCAAAGAGAATGTTCAACACCCCGAAGCTCAGAATCAGATTGCTCAAGAATGTGACCTTGGTGCTGCAAAAGCCATTTAACAAACAAATCCAACTTGGTACAAGCCATCGTGTGCTCACTTGCCTGTCACCTCGCTTCCAAGCAGCCAATAGTCCAAGAGGAGCAGCGTGATACATCGGTCTAAGAATCGGCTCAGCAGCACAGTCCAAGGTCATGATCTGCGAGCTGCTGCTTTTAGACGGGTCACTGTCGGGGCACTGGGTGAAAAACCACTGGTCAAATCTGCTGAGACCTGTCAAATCTCATGACCAAATCCCAGTCGTCTATCACAAGATTCAGAACCCAGCACAATGGACCTCAAATCTTGAAGGCTTTGAGACATGCCCAAATGTCACAAGAAAAAACGGTCTCCTGCAGGATCGTGAAGAAGGACCTGGCCACACGCTTTCAACCCCTCAACTCGGAAGCGATACTGGGTGATGGGGTACAACCCATTTGACACAACAGTGGGTTCCCGTTTGACACACGCAGTGGCCTAATGTCCAGAATGAAACTTGTTTAAGGTGCAAAAGGGCTTGAATTTAGTCTTGTGAGCCATCAGCCAACTGTGCAGTCATGTCAGGTGGTAGTCTCAAAGTTCTGCCTCACAGCCTTATTCGATGACTGATGGGTGTCCTGATTCCAAGTGAAATCCCCAATACTGAATACTCGGCACCGGACCTGTGCGCGATGAATTGTCAACCGGGAACCGACTTGATCGACTCAATAATTCTGTATTTGATCCATTAAACAAGGTTGTTAACTTCTATATATATATATATATTCAGAATCTTTAAAACAGATTTTTTTAGTAGCAATGAAAAGTGCGCACAAACCCATCCATGTGTCTTTCCGACGTTCCGGCCTCACAAGAGGCCAAGCTTGAGTCATGGAGCTTTTCGGTAATGGTTTTGTGTCTTGGGACCCCTTGTTACGTTCGTAGCTTCTTATGTTAGTAGTAATGCCAGCGCCCCTCATTAGCTTCTTGCTACGTTCGTAGCGATGCCCTTTGTTGCGTTCGTAGCTGGTTACACATAACCAATACACTTCGGCCTCGTGACGGTGCCACAATACACTTCGGCGTTCTCCCAAAGTTCGCGTGCCGCCTGGCTGGAGCACGTGCAACGCCAAGGGCGCTTGGTGAGGTAGATTGCTTTAACAAGATTGCTTTAACTAGCTTTTGGATTCTAACAAAAATAAATAAAAAGAGATAGGAAAATAAGGAGCTACTAGGAGCAAAGGGCATCGCTACTAGGAGCAAGAACGCTACTAGGGGCTCCTGGCATCGCTACTAGGAGCATTCTTACCAGTTAATTAGATTTCGAATAGAATTAAATGTCCATTTTAAAAAAATACTATTTCTTTTATATGAAGCCTCAAAACTCTGCAAAGTGACTCCCCGGCCGGTCGGCGCGAGTTTGCTTCAGCCAGTCCAAGGTGCCAGGTCCGAGCCGACCAAGGCCGTTAAGACAATCGCCAACATGTACGCGAAGAGCACCGCTGCTAGAAAGGTCCAAAGCATCGAGGGTAAAGCGTCAATGAACCTAGCAATCAAAGTCTGATCGTTGAAAAGATCTTTGGAATAAAGAATATAATTACTGCTCAATCCGTGTGGAAAAGAAGCTCTCAATCCTCTACATGTCCTTCCCACATTGATGCAGCTCTGAATAATCCCCAGGTCTTTCCTTTCGATAGCCTCCCTCATCACACAACGGAAAAAGGATGAAAAAGGGAATCACCTCAGTTGTCGCGTTTCGGATCGCAACAAATCCCCAGACATCCCGCCGGTTCCGTGCTGGTTCCCCCTCGATCCGCCCGTTCTTCCCAGGGCCACCCTTGTGTGATCCGGAAGAGCCCGCGCACAACCTTCTCTCGCCGTATGGCCCGTGCAATGCGAAGAGAGCGGAAGACACCTGGAGTCCAACAGCAAACAGGTTTCACATCGTTTCACTCTGCAACAAAGGAATCTTCTAGTAACTACAGCGCTATTAGGTTGAAGGCCATCGCTACTAGTAACAATAAAGCTTTGTAACTAGAAGCTTCCTTGGGAATCGTTTCACTGGGAATCGTTTAACCTGTAGTAACAAGAAGCTTTTTAGTATGTCTTTGAAGCTTCTTGGTAACTAGAAGCTTTCTAGGAACAATAAAGCTTCCTTGGGAATCGTTGCGGTTTTCCGGCCTTCCGAGTTTTCGACAAGTCTATCCTCGTCGGGATCACGTCTGCCCCACTTCTTTTCAAGCGGAATGACTTCAACGGGACCATGGACGGGGGGACCACGGACGAAGCAATGCCAGGTCACGCAGGGAGGCCGCCCATCTCAATCCGCTGCCATCAGTCTTTGCCAGACTTACGACCTTCAGCCGCTTCTTTGATTCTTTCATGGACTAAGTGCAAAACTCAGACCACTTTCAGGAACTTCAAAAAATCCATGCTTCAACTGAAACCTCACTCAACATTGCAATCGACCCCCACAAACTTGGAACAATTTTGGAGGCTTGAGGCCAAGACTAAACCTCGAAGTACCCACAGAAACTCTCTCGCTGACAAAGATGATGCAAAAATGCACAAGATTTGGGGTGCTGCATGGCTCATCCAAAGCCAAACTTGAATTTGCCATGCAAGAACCTGAAAAGGTCTCAGAATGACCAGTGGTCTGCCAAGGTTCGAGGTCTGCCACACTGAACACGACCAAGCAATAGTCGAAGACGTTCCAAGGGTCCACGAAGTATTCCTCGGTTCGCATGGTTCGCTGAACTCGCGCTGTTCGCGTCCTCGTTTGCAAACACCGTCGCTGGTTCGCTGTCCACCGACGTCTGATTGATCCAGACCAGATGCCCAGTTGAGCTGATTGATCCTCAGCAACATTTCCACAAAGAAGAAGGTTGTGAAAAGGACCTCGCAGATGAACCAAGGAAGACGATCCGCCAACCTCAGCAACTCTTAGCTACTTCCTCGCAAGTCTAAACCTCCTAGACTCGAAGACACCTCATAGACTCGAAGACCTTTACATTGTCACGACACTCAATGTAGAAGAAACATGTTTGTATATAGGGCCTCCAACCTAATAGCAATGGCCTCCAACCTAATAGCGAGAGCGAAGGCCCAAAAACCTTTCAACGGTTTGCTGCAAAAACCCATGATGCCTTGAGTGAACTTCTGTAAATGCTGCTTGGCACTGCTTAGCCAAGCAAAAAAACAATGTGGCACCTTCTCCACCTCTGCAAGTGCATGTTCTCTAGATCCTCTAGGTGTCACGCTGGATGCCTCTTGAATAATCGCTTTCCAATCCTCAGAATCACACGGCTTGTCTGTAACTCTCCAGCAAGAGGGTCCATTCAACGTGCTTTCAATTCACTCTTGTTCCACCCTTGGTCTCTTCAACCAATGTCCGAAAGAATGGTGACCAAGCATCCAATCAGCACTGTGTTGGCCAGTGTGGCAAAGACCACCATAAAGTTGAAGAGCCAGCTGGACGCAAAATGCCTGCGCCTCACAGACAAGCCCTCGTTTTCCACAAGGTGTAGACACAGGTCGAGGATGGGTCGAGTCTGGTCGAGGTAGAGATCCTACAGACAGAAGTTCGTTTCTAGCAAATCTAGCTATGCACTTTGTCTTAAGCTATATACTGAATTTGGCCTCCGCCATGCTTCCCTCAGAAGCTAGCAGCTAGTGCTTGGAGGAGGGCCACATCTGGACAACCTATCAGCACGGGCACACTTACAATAGCCCTGTTGGCACCTTGCTTTTTTGTCTTCCAAAATCTCGACGTTCACATGCTCGAACGCGCTGATGAGCCTGGCTGGAAAGCAACTCTGAACAAGAGAGCATCGGGCGCCGTGTTGTTGTTGGAGCCCTAATGTTTTTGTCGATTGGTGCCGACGGAAAGTCATGAGCGTCATTCCCAAACACATCGAGCTTACACCACGTATACCCCCGGACGGAAAAGCAAGTGAAGCCCGTGATCGCCCTCAAAACAAACCACGGTGAACGAGTCCAAGAACCACAGATCTCCAAGAGCTGAGCCCAAATAAAAGCATCATCAGCCTGTCTGATCGCTCACCCGGCGGTCTCCTGTCGAGACATGTGTGTGTGTCTTCCTCTGCTGTGTTTTTGAAAAAGCCTGTTGATGCGAAAACAGGACACGGAGTAATCCTTTTCATGGTTTGCGAATCATGCGAAAAAGTATCGTCTGACACGGTGAGAGTGTTCAAACACTGAGTCTTCTCACGGAGCGCCTTCCAATGTACCATTTGCACCTATCTAAACTCAGACATACCATTCTGCCATGGTGTCTGTGTCATATGTCTTGGGCAATTAGGGGCTGCAGCTTGCCAAACCCACAGAGCCAGCGGCGGCACTGAATGCATCCATCCCGAATCCCAAATTTGGCAGTGTGAACTGCTTGAAAGCCAGCAAAGACGTTTGCCAAATCATTTTTGGGACCCGCACAGAAAGCTTCACATGAGTCCTCCAATAATCGTTGGGCGTTCTTTCAAGTCTCAAAAGATATGGACACTTTGTACATTGACGATGATCTTTCCACCTTCCACCTCAGACCAAACTACATGACTACACCACTAAACACGCTGGCCAGCAGGCTGAAATACTGGCGGCCAAGAGGTGAAGAAGGGTAGAGCACCTCTAAGCACTTTAAAGCTCAAGGCCCAGCAGCCTAAAGCTGCGAAAATGGGCTCAATCACTGCTGCGGCACGGTCGACCTGATCATAATTGCAAAGGGCTTTCGACTGATCTGTTCCCCCATTTCCATCGTCATTTCCTTGGAATTAGTAATTACCCTTGATGGTGCACTTTGCTTCTTGACACAGGCCTCGAAACCTCCAAGAACCGTTGAATGTCGCTATATCTTTCGGAACTGGTGTTCTGGACGTCAAGTGTGCCAATCTTCCCCTCCAACCATTGGGCTCCCGCACAACTCCTCAACCAAAGCTCGACGCCATGGCCTTGTTGAACGACCAAACCAGGTTCAGGTGACCGAACCAAAGGATTGGGCCTCCAAAAGAGGCTTTCTTCTCCTTGAGAACATCATACTAAAAAACATCTCTTGCTGTGGCGTCCCTTCGGGTCCTTTTTGAAAGTTGTTTCATCTTTTCCCAGGCTTCATGAGCTGGGAGCAGTGCACAGTTCATTTGGGTGGGTTTGCAGACCTGCAAAAGGTTCACAGCGAATGGGGACGGTGCATCCCACAAAAAACCAAGGCTAGGGTTGGTGCGCTCCGATCTCCAAAGAATGTTCCGGTTCGAAGCAATCACTCTTGATTGGGTGCTTGCGAATTATGCCGGGAACCTAAGTACTTGTATCGCAATCGTTCTGGTTTATGCTTTGCGAACTCTCCAAAATCTGCACGCGCCAAGATGCATTGTCGATGCGTCCCCGATGGAAACCAGGCTGGTCGGCGCAATCCAGGGTCGTCGCACCCCGCTTCTGGGTGCGGCCACGGATCCTGACCGCTGAGATCCAAGAGAGAAAGGCCAGGGCATCTTTCTGTCAGCAGCACTTCAACACAGATTGTTCACAATGGTGCCCTAAACAATGTTACTGACATCGGGGCATGCAACCTGGCAGAGTTCAAGGCCTTTCGCAGAAGCTACTGTTGATAAAGGCTCATCAAGCACCAACGTTTAAAGTGTTCGCTGCATGTTCTGTTTAAAGAATCTTCCTTGTTGGGCCTGGGTTGGGTGATAAAACTGTGAGGAACCCAAAGTGAAGTGAGTACACGTGCACCCAAAGCTGGTGGGCAAACCGGAAAACCTGTGACTGATGAAACACTGCCATCCATACATCCACTCTTCTTCCCCCAAAACAACAGCCGGTCTCGCATCTTCCATGCGAACAGGTCAGCACATCTCCGTCTTGCAGCCTTGGATGAGCACACAACGACACTGTTCAAGTTGGGCCTAGCGGCTAGCCATGATCCGACAAGGGTTGTTGTTGGAGCATAAATGTAGATTGGTCTTTCATTACGCATCAGGACAATCCCTGTGTATCCATGTACCCTTCCAACAATACACTCACTCATCGCTTGCACATGCCATTGAAGACTCTAATCTACGTTCTTCTCACTACCCATGGGCCTCCAAGCCTTTTGGCCAGTTGTGAAGCTCGCACAACACCCTCAAGTAGCCCAGTCGCCCGACGATGTCAATGCCACCAACGGCGTTGGCATAAAGGCTAGATGTGATGTCCCACAGCCTGAAGCTAACCCTGATCAAGTGTCGATGCAACCCGATATCCTAAGCAGCTGGCTTCCGCTGGTCGGAAATGGATTTCTAAACACACGCACCAGGTCTTTGTCCGATTCTGAATACTGGACAATTATCTCAAAACCTCGACCCGTTCACCTCCAAGTACTGCAGGGGCTGAGAGATCTAGGAATCTATATAGTCTGCATTTGGTTCGTCTGGTGTTCAAAACAGACGCAATCTAACGTCAACATAGGATTAAGAAACCACCCCCTATTAATCAATCCCAGCTCGACCCCCCGAATATTAAACTAAGTTGATCTATGGATTTCCCCTTGGCATCACCCTAATAATGTTTTTCCTGTGCAAAAACCTCCCCCTATTAATCAATCCCAGCTGCCCCAAAAAAAATAGAAATGTTGTTTACTATGTATTTATAGTTTTTTGTTTTACATTCTTTTGGCTAGTCTCCAATATACTTTATATGTATATATTAAAAAAAGAAAAGAACAACTTTTTTGCTAGTTTTCAATATCTTCATCTCCTCATCTTCCTGATTCTCACCACCACCTTTCCTCAGATCCTTTTGATGGCTTCTCCTCAGGTCTCATGCTACCAACCATCCCCCAAAACACCAAAAACTCTCTAGCAAAAGTCTTTCATGTTCCCTTATTAAAACTCTTTAAAATCTTAACTGTTTCAAGCTCAAAAAGGGTACCCCTCACAGAGGCCTTACCCCCCCCAATAGTAGGACCACCTCCCCCTATTAATCAATCCCAGCTGCCCCAGAAAAAATATATTATACAGTGTAGTTGTAACTCGTTATTGTTTTCTTTTTTGCTAGTATTCAATATCTTCATCTCCTCATCCAACCCTTCCAACCCTTTCATCCCTTTCATCTCAATTCTTCCAAATACTAATTCCGTTTCATCTCAATTCTTCCAAATACTAAGTCCCTTTCTTTCATCTCAATTCTTCCAAATACGCATTCCCTTTCATCCCAACTCTTCCAAGTAGTAATTCCCTTTCATCTCAATTCCAAATACTAATTCCCTTTCAGCCCAATTCTTCCAAATACTAACTAATTCCTGTCATTCCAATTCTTCCAAATCAAATTCCCTTTCATCATCAGGTCATCAGCTGTATTAGGGGGATGTTATCTCTCAAACCTCCAATCTCAAACCTTGTTGACCTTGAAGGGGGGGGGGGCCGTTTATTAATCCTACGTCGAGATTAAATCCAAAAGTCTGCAACCATACCAGGAATGGCTTAGAAGTAAATTCTTTGTGTGTCACAGTGTATAAATGTATACACTATATATATATATACAACATATAGTGGGAAGGAGCTAAAGCCGTGTACGAACAAGTGCCGCATGTGCACAGCCGCAACAATAACCTTGCTGTTTAAGTCCCGGGATGGGCAGCACATATCCTTCAGGAGTTCTCGGCTGCTGGAGTACACCACCTCCCCAAACCTTCCAGCCTGGTTTTATTGCTCCAGTGGGGCCGCAGCGCGCAATGCCCGGCCAAGCCAAGCCCCTGCATATCGCCCATCAGCAGCATCCTCCATCAATGCAAACACGTCGCCACGTAGTTTATGTCTCATAATCACTCACCCTGCTCCAGATGGTCCCTAGCTTTTTGGCTTGAGTATTTCTTGTCATGAGTCCCAAGCACCACTGGTTTGCTCAAGAAACAAAATAGAAATGACACTGTACATCTACAATGAAGTTCCTTTTGTTGCCACAGTTTCGGATGATGAACCCATCCACACTTTGATATATCCTGTTACAAAGCCGTCGCTCTCGGGGTGCCAAGGTGCTGAAGGAGCTCCACCCGGGGCGCGGCCGTGAGCGCGAAGGTCTCCCCGGCCAATATCGCGCCGGCGCCGGAGCCCAGGAAAATCCTCGCGTGGCGACGGCCATTCGAACTGGTTCTGTTTGGAAGATTGAAGTGTAACAGGTACTTGTCTAACAAGAACTATACAGGCTATTGGCATCTTTCTATTTCAAGAGCCGGAAGGTGAGAACCGACAGACCGAGTGAGGTTCATCACTTCAACAAGTAGCAGCTAGCAGTTGAAGAAGCAGATCAAAAAGCCTGCAGTTTTCAGCAACTAAACATGAAGGTCTGACGGTTTGATGTCATTTGCAGTCTACGTTTGTCATCAAACCAGTCTCGACAGGAGGACGAAGCGTGGCTCATGCAATCTCGAATGATGCAGCATAAATCTCTCCGCCATGGCTCAAAGAGCCATCTTTCACGCGGTTGGTGAGCTTCTCGGTAAAGTCAGGCACCAGGACCTTGTAAACGTAACCTTGGTAAGCTGGCCCTGGCCGGCCGCAGCTCTTAGAATCTTGAATTAAACCTGTGACTTGTCGTGTTCGGCAAGTCTCCAAGGCAGTTCATGAAGACACGGAGTGTCAGGAGAGATGACGCTGAATAATTTTGGCAGTTGTCAGGAGCTGTCTGAAACTGGTGCCTTTTGTGGTAGACCCATCTGTTTCCATCATGAAACGGTCAGATTCTGCTGGCACGACACCCAAAAAATCAACATTCCCGGAGTTCACCAGCAGCACGCTGGACTCCTCCAGAAGCTGCTCCAACCTCAATACGCAGGAACCAAATGGCGAAGGAAGAATTCCTACAACCTTGTAAGGAAAATATCCTGTCGGGATCTCCCACAAATACCAGCAGTTGAGGTCCATTGACGGGAAGGTCTACTCTGCAAAAAGTCTTGTGGCACACACCATCTGCATCTACAGACCTGTGGAATTTCGAAGCAGAACAAGGGCAGCTGTTTGCAGAACAAGCTGCTCCTGAAGGCACTCTGGATGCGCCAAAGAGCCCATCTGCACCTTACGTCAACCGAAAAAGCAGCTTGCAAGGCTTCCTACGATCAAAGATCAGTGCAAAGCAACCATCCGGTCTTTGATATCAGAATTCCTGTTCACACCCGGAACCGGAAGCAAACAGAACGAGGCTGGGACTTCCTTGTATCCTCATTGAATCACAATCACTCGCCTGCCTATCCGGTCTAGGTGCTAGCTCCCCTCATCACTACCGGCCTTTGGCGCAATGCCTTGCGACTGCAGTTGGAACAGAGCCTGCCACTTGCAACAGAAACAACTATGCTGCACCCTGCAGTGTCAATGAAAATGAGCAAGTGCCGTGAACGAGTAGTCTCAGCCCCATAATATGTATCCATCGGACAATTTTGGGAGTGATGCGGCTGCTTAAAGCCTGCAAGCACAACAAAGTCGGCTCCAGCTTAAGGAATTTTGCATGTCTCAAGATGGACCCCCACAACTGCATGTTTATAATCATCGCATTCTGTGCATTTCTGCTGCCAATCCGTCAATTTCAAGTTCTGATTCCCTCACTGACCTCTTCTTTTGCTCATCCATCCGCTCGCCTTCTTTTGCTCATCGGTCGCACAGCGATCGAAGGCAGAGGCCTCCGGTCGCCGGTGGGTGCCGGTCGTACGGAGCACGACGACTGGACGACGTGGCGCCGGGAGTGTCGGTTCAGCTTCCAAGTTGCGTGGCTGAAGACTTCAGCCGGAAATCCAGGAAGACCAAGCTTGCACTCAGTGCATTGGATCCTGAGTGACTTCCAGTGAAGATGGTACTTGTGAAAATCAGGTTTTGTGAACAGAAAGTCACTTTGCAGCATTGAGTTGCGCTCGTTCCATGGAAAATGGTAGCAAAAAGCACGGGAGCCAGCCTTGAGTACAGTATCATATCACGCAGTTCACCAGGATGCTTTGCTGCAGGTTTACATATATGTCTACATTATATAGAGCTTCGACAGAGGGTAGTGCCATGTACGTGCTGCTGAGCATCCACCCAGCATCCATACCCTCAAACCCACCTGTCGCTTCTCGCACAAGCTTCTGACTCGTCTTCAGACCTACAGTGGGTAGGCATGAGTCTCAAAGGGCCTGTTGTCCTGCCCTCAGAGTTTCTCCCATCAGAGGCGGCAAATGCAAGCAGTTTTGGGTTGATGGGGGGAGAGGCCTCTTTCAGGTTGGACAACGAAGAAACAGCTTCCACTTCGTTGCCGACAAACTTGTGATATCTTGCGGTTGCAGTTATAAGTCTCCACAAACTTCACACACAAGATCACGGTCGTTTTGGCCATGTTCTTGTGCCATGTTCTTGGCAGACCTGCCTGCGTTGAGGTAGTTCACTCCATCGGCTCTGGAAAAGGCAGGGTTCCTCTCATCCCAGAAGGCGGACGTGAGGAATGCCGCATCATCCAGCACCAGCACCTAGCAGCAGTTAGAAACCACATGCATGGACATGGGGTCTGTATTCTTCACTGTGTTAAGACCTTCCTTTTGATTGATGATCCGGATCCATCACCTAGAGTGCCAGCTGAAGAGTAGTTCCCCATGTCTTTCACACATCGCTATGGCTCGCGCTGTTTTCCATCCGCATGTGTCGCACCGCGGATCGCTCTCTCTGCAACCGCGGATGGGCCACCAACCGGTGCCTTGGATCGATGCTGCTTGGATTGCAAGTCCAGCAAGGATTGGAAGGCGTCCTCTGACGATTCGGGCTGAACATCTGAGGAAAAAAAAGCAAGGGATGGTAACTTCTTGGTTTTTTTTCTAGTAGCTTCTTGATACTGCTAGTAATGCCCTTGTTACTAGTAGCGATGCCCTTGTTCAATGGAATATGCTGCATCTATGTTGATCTAGACACTGGCATTCCGGGCCGCTTAACTGATCTCTGTCAAAGAATCTGGGAATAAGAAAAGGTTGTATAGTCCTCTATAGTATCCAAAAACATATCTCGAACTTACACTGCTTTGTCCTATTCCCATCTTCAAGTGTCCCGAGCTGCGAATGCTCACCATTCCCCACTCCTTGGCATCAGGATCCTCGAAATTGGAGCTTGCCAGCATCAGCATAGACTGCTCTGTCAAGCCGCTGTGCCCACCTTGTAGAGTCGCCAAAATCAAAAACAATTCTGTGGACTTTAGCCTAGTTCATCGGCGGATGTTCATTTCGAGAGCAGCAGGGAGCAGGGTACCAGAAAATATTTGTTCGATGTGAGGCTGGGTGGTGTCGTCTATCTTTCAGCTGACTAGAAGAAATGCCTGGATGAACAAATGCGCTTACCCTTTGCTTCTTTCGGGGTTAAGCTAAACTATGCGGTTTGAAAACTAGAAGGTAAACTGACACGTTTTAAAGTTATCTAGGTTCAAAAGCTAGAAAACGAGCGTAAGTTTGAGAACTAGGAACGTGATGGAACGTGGGTTTCAGAAACTGGGGTTCAGAAAGGGGAGTGTCAGTTGGTTGAGAATAGATGAAACTGTTTCATGTAACGTGCATGAAGTTCTGCTTCGTGCAACTGGCAGCAATTGACTTGAACGTAAATAGCCCTCGGGACCCCCAAGACCCTCGACCCGCCAAACCAAGGCTTAACCCAAAGACCTGGTTACTGAACCCAAAGTAGTTTCTAAAAACAAAAAAGACGTGTCTTGATCTAAAGCAGGGCCTAGTTTCTGAACCAAAAACCCAGTTTCTGCACCCGGGCCATTGTTGTTTTGAGTGTCACCTATTCTCAAACACCTGCCTCTCACTCGGATCTTTAATCTCTTATGTGCCAGGATCGGACCCTCGAAATGCCCTACACCTTCGTTGGAAGCCCAAGCTGTTTGGGCCACACAGGATGCTGTCATCCACATGACCTTCACCGACCCGTTGGGGTATTTCCCGCTTGATCCCTGTGTCCCCTTGGGTCGGTCTCAGGAACACTGAGGTGCTGCAGGTCTGCAGGTTGAAACCTTAGGCCAATCGAAACAGAGAAGCGACTTGAAGCAACAGTTGAATTGACGACTGGCGTGGTCAGTTGTTCACCTTTTCTGCCTCAATCTTCAGCCGAGGGCCAGGCGAGGTTTGGCCTTGGAGGGACATACTTCTTGTAGGCAAATTTGTAGGCCTGACCGGCACTCGGGAGTGCGAGCAAAGGACACGCATCTTGTCGACAGAATCTCGCATCTGGAAACATGAAGCCGATGCCGGATGTTCACAACATACTTTGAAGCTAGATCTTCAAAGCAAACTCCGGCCTCAAATACCCTCGGCAAGTGCGAGGTGGGCTGGCTGAAGATGTCAAAGCCTCAAGACCAAGGTCGGACAGGTTGCTATGTCGCACTACCTTCACAAGCTTAAAGACCATTAAAATAGAGTGCTTGAACATCAAACAGCAGCTCCTATCCCGAAATAGATTGCCCAAACCAGCCTTTTATACAATAATATAACCGTCTTCGTTTCGTCGTCTCAAGAGCCTTCGCGACAGTTGATCTACAGTACATTTTATCGATCCTCATCCGGCCTTCTCGTGAGTTCTTCCCAACCATAAAGCAATGACCTTGATCGCAGGCTAGACCTTCTCCTCAGCAAGCTGTTGACGGATTCGACCTCCAGCCCATGTTAAGACAGGAGAAAAGGAGGACGACCAAACACCCACATAGATTGGTCGAAACCATTCGGCCAATCGGCATCGACTCGCCAGGGGGTTGCACCCACAACTCACCCTTTGGGGAGTGAGAAGAAGGCACCTCCAAGCCACTTGGTCTGGTTGGGAGAGTTTCTTTCAGCTGTGCTGAGTGGTTCCTTTGCACCAAACGCTCCACATAGGTGGTCAGCACCAACGAGTCCCTGTCTGTACTCATTCTGTACTCCCTGTGACCCACACCAAATTGCCCAAGTCTTCTGGTGAAGAAATGTTGTACCGGATTCCTCTTTTGAGCTTCTTGAGAGGAAATGAATACATCTGCCGTCCTTCTTGCGACCTTCATGCTAGACTCCTAAGACAAATGCCAAAGTCTCCATTTTCTGTGAGGATTCCGACTTGACCTCTGGCTTTTTGCAGAACTCTGGTTGGTATGTTCCAAAGAAGGTTCCTGAGTCGCAGTGGTGGAAAGAGATTCTGGAAGAGCTGAAGACTGAGAAAGCAGCATGTTGAATATGCTGTTGTACGTTTGCAGTGCACGTAGATGGTACAAAAGTGATAAGAATGAGGATTGTCGGGCATTGCAACAGCGGATTCAGAATATTACATAACTGCCTGCAGTTTGAAATGTACTTCTCCCCTGCCCCTACCATGGATAATGCATGTTGTTTCACCAGCTGAAATGCAGGATTAGAGTGACACATCATGGTAGCTCCCCTGGTCTGACCAATAGAATGTTGCTAGCTACCTTTAAGCCTGCTTATTTGCTTCTTCAAAGCACAGAGCTCAAACTGTTTTGAAGGTTTCGGGCAGATCTTCATTGCCAAGAGGCCCGTAGTGCGGCCGAATAGCACAACTGCCGGCCAGAGCAAGACCCCTGGTATCACCTTGCAGCAAGACTTCTTCCTCAGCAAGAGTTCGTTCACTTGCATGTTCAGCAAATCACTGTCAAACCTGCTAAAGAGATGTGCCAAAACCAATTGGACTGTGCCATCAACCGAAGCTGTGCCGGATGAGCCCTAGGACTCGAAACGGCTCAACTTGAACCGCACTCGTTCGATGATTTTGAGGCCAGCTGCAAGAAGAGGATTCGGTTCGTAGGTGTAGGCATAATCGATTGAAGCTGCCATGGAACCTGCACTCCTTCGAATCTCACTGGACGAGGACGAAAGGCATAGGAAGACACTTACATGAGCCTGCATGAGACATCCACCAGAATGGAACATTGCCTCCCTTAAAGTCTGTAGAGTAGGAACTGTCGCTGATCTCTGGAGTTTATCACGGCACACACCACAACAGCCGATTGCGGTCCTTCCGAGGTAGAGCAAGCGGCCAGAGCGGACCCGTGATGAAATCATCTTCCCCAGCTGGGGAGCAAACTTTTGAAAGACATAGCCTAAGTCCAGCAGCGTAGCCTGGGTCCCTCCAAAAACGATTTAGGCAAGCAGGATCCAATGTCAAAGAGACTAATCACGGCCAGGGTTTGCTAGGGATGTGCAAAAGGAACAGGGTACGTCGTACGTATGTACTCTTGAGTACTTACGTTATATGTTTCTTGTCTAGCTTCAATGTGTGTGTTGTCAAGAGCACAAGTGTTCCTTGAGGGTTTCTTGACATCATTGGTACCCTGAGCGACCAGAGAGACTCCAACAGAGTAAACGTCTCATGAAAAACCTAAGAGAGGCACAGGAGTTCAGAATTCAGACAAGGGGCCAAGGATGTCTGGATTCCCCCCGTTCGCGAAGACAATGCTGACCTTCACACAAAGCAGAGCTGTCAAAAACAATCTGCGGAAAAATTGCTCTTTGATGCTCTTTGTATATACCTTACCTGTTCAGTACCGCCGAGCAAATGCGTGGTCTTCAACAAAACTAAATGCTTCGTGAATTTGCTGTACTTCAAAGTGAAAAAGAAAAAACAAACGCTTTCTGCGAGAAAGACTTTCGTTCACGGAGGCGACCCAATGCGACCCACAATGGAGATCTGAACTTGTATTGAAAGAATTTGCCTTCATGATGGCAGTTGCAGTTGCAACACCCCAAAAAAAGTCCAGATGGGCGCCCGTTGCGTTCTCCATTGACATTGCAAAAAGCATCTTTCAGAGCAAGGTAGAAACTTGTCCTCATGCACCTTTCTCTCATCTCAACGAACTGGAGGAAACCACTAGAACTGTCCAAAGTTGATCTAGAGTGGCAAAGGACGGGTCCTTTCTCGAATCAAGTGGTGCTCTCTTTTTCTTGAGCCAAGGGAAAGGATTGCTCCCTGCCTCATCAAGCATCTTCTCAAACCTTAGTACGCTGGTGCTCTTCGTGTGTACTCAGAAAAGCATGTATCCTTCATAGTACATCGGCTGCCTCTGGCCACAGACTCTCGGCACGCTTGAACGAAAAAGACTATGCAATCAGGAAGGCCCTCAGGACTGCGACCACAGGCGTTCAACGAATGGCCAAGTGGCAGTTGGCTAAACTCCGGTTGCAAGGATTCCCCTGGTTGACCACAGAAAATGAACAGAATAGACTACTAGCTTTCTGGGTTCAAGTACCCTTGAGCTTACGCCTCACGGGGGCCGGGGCCTGTTCGACGGCCTCGCGGCTGTGGGCAGGCGTCTACAGAGTGGACTTCTCCTGTCCACACCTTTTCCACTTAGGTAGATAGGTTCTTTGCACTCCTTTGGATAGAGCCATGGACTTAGATCTGCTTTTGTGTGATTTGGAGGATCCCTGGAGGTCAAGGGCCAGGGCTCTCCTTCATGGTGTGGGCGATGGCCCAGCTCTCTGCTGGGAGCACTACACGATCCTGGCTGGAACGTTTTGGTCCCAGGTGAACGACATCTATGAAGTCTCCCTCATGCAATTTGTTGCTGGCCAGGGTTTTACTGGAGAGAAGATGACGGAAGCCAAGATCTGCATCCACGATGCTCACAAGCGGTCCCTGAATTTGATTGCTGGCGATCTCTTTGTCTGTGCAGGCCTTTTCACGACCCAGGATATTGGCCTCTGGACTGGTGATCACCGTGCTATCCTCCTGAAGAAGACCATGCCTGTGATTGATGAAGCGATTGAATGTCTGCACATCTTTTCAGGTGCCTTTTCTGGATGGGGCCAAGCTCTCAGCTCGCTGCCACGGTTTTGCTCCACTCTTCGATTGGGTGCGCAAACGTTTGTTGATGTGGATGTTGAAGTCACCGCTGCACTTGCTCGCAAGCATGGATGCAATGTCACGCCTGCACCAGTTCAGGCCAGTGCTGT